GGAGGGCCAGGGATGGGGCAGGAGGAGGGACCGCATCTGGGCACGGAGGGCCAGGGATGGGGCAAGAGGAGGGGCCGCATCTGGGCACGGAGGGTCAGGGATGAAGCTGGAAGGAGTTGTGTCTGTGTGTAGGGGGAATCATCTCTCAGAAATGGAAGGCTAGGGATGGGGACAGGATCAAAGGTCATCTAGGCATGGGAGAGGAGGAGGTGAGGAGGAGCAGTAATGATGTCCTGGAAATTGGGTGGGAGGAGGTGACCTGGATTAGAAGGTGCAGAATGCAAAGATTGGGGAAATGGATCTAAGGTGGAAGACTTGGACGTGACAGCAGTATTCTTTTCTGGGTCTAGGTCATTGAAGCTGAACTCCGTTGTACCCAGCGATGGGAGCTTACACCTGAGGGCCAGGAGATGGCCCAGAATGGCAGCCATGAGGCCAGAGTCTTTCACAGCCTGCCTCCTGAGGGTCTGGTGCAGAGTGAACTCATGGTACTAACTGACTCAGAGGGCCTAGGGGAGGCTAGTTCTGGATGTTACTTTGGTTCAATTGATATTCATTCATTGTCTAGTCTAGAAATGATAATAGGTTAAGGACAGCTCTAAAGATTAAAAGATACAGTTCCTACTCTCAAAAAGTTGTTGTAAGGGAGTAAAGGATGGGAGATGGACATGTGCACACATATAATATGGGGAACAGAGTGATGGGAGCAAAGAAGAAATTAATTGATCAATAAACATTCATTAAGTACTTATTTCGTGCCAGGCACTGCACTAAGTGTTGGGCATGCAAAAAGAGACAAAAGGCAGTCCCTGACCTCAAGGATCTCACAATCTAATGGATCCAAACATAATGTTCTAGGAAAATTTGAGGAGGAATTGAACCCTTTGTAACAGTGTAATGAGGGAGAGATGGGATAGTAAGTTCAGAAATAGGTAGTCATAGTGCTTGGCTAGATTGTATAGTGCTTGAAACAAATTGATTCTGTAGTACTGGAAGTTGTAGCCAGATCCTGGGGAACCTTAAATGTTAAGCTTGTATATGGGTAGTGTTTTATCCTGGTGGTGTTAGGGACTCAGGAATAGCTTTGAAGCGGAAAAATGACATGATTATTTTGGAAGATGATTTTGGGGACTGAGTGAAGAAAAAAGGGAGAGAGGAGGAGTCCCAAGTCCCAGCAAGGTGGCAAGGGTCGCAGCCGGGCATCTGCCATTATGAGCAGGGAGAAGTGGACTGGTTAGAGTGCTGGACCTGGACTTTGACAGGCTTGAGTTTGAATTCTGTTAGAGACACTTCAGAGCTGTGTGACCTTTGCTTACCTCACCTTTTTGGTCCTCAGTTTCCTTATCTGTAAAATGAAGGGGTTGGGCTTGGTTATAGCTAAAGTACAGCCCTCGCCTGCCCCCCCTCCCCCAGCTCTAGATGTATGGTTCTTTGAATTCAAGAAATGTCTTGGAGGGAGGAGCAACAAGATATGGTTGCTAGTTGTATGCTGGAGGGTGAAGGCTAACTCCTCCACTCTGGGGGAACAGGAGTCCAGGGGAGCATAAGGCACCTCTAGGCCAGTATGTGAGCCCCTGTGATCCCACGGATCGCTTTTCCCATACCGTTTTCATGCCTTAGCTCAGATTCCACCTCCTTCAGCTTCTCATGTTCCCATTAGTTATTGCTTTCTCTCCTCTTAGACTACCTCATATTTAGCTATCTGTTTACATGCTGTATCCCGATGTAAGTTTAGTGGAGACAGGGATCCTTTTCATCCTTGTGCTCCCCAGCACCTAGCATAGTGCTAGCAAAAGTGCATAGTAAAACTTGTTGTAGTCCCTTAATAAAAGCTTATTGAATATCATCCTCTGTCTGTCTTCTCCTAGAAACTGCTCAGTGGGAAGGTGGGCTTCAGCAAGGCCATGTCCAACAAGTGGATCCGTGTAGACAAAAATGCGCCTGGTGGGCCCCGGGTGTTCCGTGCTGTAAGTGGGGCTGGAGCCCTAATGGTTCTGGGGAGTGACGCGGATTGTGTGGCTTCCTGTGGGGAGTGGAGGCTTGTCTCTTTGTGTAGGAAGGAGGTGAAAAAAGACATAACTGGGACGATGAGGGAGATGTGGCACCTTCCTCTCTTGGTGGGGTTAGAGATAAGGCAAAGGAAGAACCAGCTCTAATTCTGGCCCCTTATGGTTTGGGTAAGATAGGAGCTGGATTCTCTTTGAAATCTGCCTTTCTGGAGATCAGGGCTTCTTCCTATCCTGCTGTGGTTTCTCCTGCCCTAGTTTTTCCTACCCCCTACCTAACCTTGGAGCCCTTGCTGCCTCATTATCTAACCATTTAACAAACGTTAAGTGCCTACTGTGTGCTGAGCCCTGTGCCAGGCATCTGAGGTGATACCAAGCTTAGATAAGATGCGGTCCCTGTTCTTATAGAGTTTGCCGTCTAGTAGGTGGATACGCCCCCAAACACACTATAATACACCGGCATAGGTGGACAGTGTGGAGGACTTGGTGCAGGCAAAACTGCAGCTGGTACAGGATGGGGAAGCTGAGCGTCTGAGTGAAAAGGAGAGGAATGAACTGAAGAAAAGGAAGCTGCTGTCCGAAGTGTGAGTCCTCCCTCAGCCGTCCTTCAGGAACTTTCCCCCCTCCCCACCCCCCATCCAGCAGCTGTATTCCTGTCTGAGACTGTCCCCGTTGCTTAGCTGTCTTCCCATGCCCTCGCCATACTTATGTGGAGTTGGCATTCAGTTTCCCCACCAGGGGGCAGCATCCCACCAAACCCTCCCCTCTCTGGCTTCAGGACCCTGAAGACCTATTGGGTGAGCAAGGGGAGCACCTTTAGCACCAGCATCTCCAAGCAGGAGGCTGAACTCAGCGCCGAGATGATCTCCAGGTGTGTGCGTTGGGCTAGGGAGCAGCCGTGCTAGCGGTGGAAATCAGTGGCCCACAGTCAACTGTTTTTTTGCTTTCAGTGGCTCCTGGCGGGATGTGAAATTCAAAGCATACAACTTTTCATCAAAAGGTGTCATACCAGAGGGGGGTCACCTTCACCCGCTGATGAAAGTTCGCACACAGTTCCGGCAGATCTTCTTGGAGATGGGGTGAGCGGGGGAAGGAGGAGATCTCAGGTCTGTCTAGTGGGTTATGGCGCTGAAGCTAACAGGGACCATGGATAACTCTTGGACCTCCCTCTAGCTTCACAGAAATGCCAACCGACAACTTCATCGAGAGCTCCTTCTGGAACTTTGATGCCCTCTTCCAGCCCCAGCAGCACCCAGCCCGAGACCAGCATGACACCTTCTTCCTCAAGGGTCAGTCCTTCACCCTCTTGGTAGCACTCTCTTGACCCTCTCTCTGTCTTGTCTCCAGCCTTGGGTTGTCCTCTTTCAGGCCCATTTATGGAATTCTTTCTAGCAGGCACCTCCCTGAATCTTCTAGATTCCCTTCTGAAAAGCAGCATGACACAGAGCTAGGGTTGGAGTCAAGAAAGCCCAGGCTGCAGCCCTGTCTCTGCCACTCGCTGTCTGGCTGCCAAGTCACTAAGCTTTCTGAGCCTTGATTCCCTTATCTGTGAAATAGAGATAATATTCAGATCTTATGGATAAAGTGCTTTGGGAACCTTAAAGGCCTCTTGTGTAGGATGTTGTTGTCTTTATTATCATCTCCTCCTCTTCCTGCGACCTCTTTGTTACTTCATCCTCTCCCTCTCTCCCCTAGACCCAGCACAGACCCTGGATTTTCCCATGGGTTATCTGCAGCGTGTGAAGCAGACTCACTCTCAGGGTGGCTACGGCTCTCAGGGGTGAGAGCCCAAATGGTGTGGGAATTGCAGAGGCGGGGGTGGGGGAAGGCAGAGGAAGAATAGGTGCACCTTTTATTTTCATTTTCCTTCAGCTACAAATATGACTGGAAGCTGGAGGAGGCCCAGAAAAACCTTCTACGGACACACACTACAGCTGCCAGTGCCCGGGCACTCTATCGCCTTGCCCAGCAGGTATGCGGGGGTATTTCATTCCCCATGTTAGCTCACTTCTCTTTAACTATCCTTGTCTCAGTTCATTGATTTGTAGGTTTCTGGTATAGAAAGCAACAGGCAAACTTGATTTTGGGTCCAAGCCGCATTTATCATGGACTCAAAAATTCAAAATTGAGCCCACTTCTGTGTCTATATGTAGATATGGGCATATGTACAGATGCAGGTGTGTGCATGCACACACACTCACAGAGCAGATATTGATCAAATGGCACTGGAAAGTTGTCAATATGGTAAGGATATACTGCTTGGACAATGGTCCAAAGTGGATGCTCTCATCTCCAGGCCAGTGGTTTTTTGGACACCTGTGTAAGACGCCAGCTCCTCTGTCTCTAGAGAGAGTTGACTTCATCTCAGTTAGTTCTCAAGGCCAGCTGCCACAAAAGCCAACAAGTCAATGACCAGTCACAGAATTTTGATGACCTGTTTTAGAGAAACCAGCAACACCCAGTTGGTCATTTTATTGGCATGGTTCCTGCCATACTTGTGCACTGCCCAGGCGTATCCAGTCAAGATGAGGAATCCAGAGGGAGTGCCTAGCTAGTGTTTCCTTCAGGAGCCAAATTGACCATTTGAATATAAGCACAGCAGGAACAGAATGTGTGAAATAATCCTTGCCAGAGTTATAAATGCATCTAGTTTATGTACCTAGTATAGTCCTTTCCTGTGGGTGGTCTCTCTGACCCTGTTTTTCCTGTCTGTCCATCTCTCCCCGTGTCTTGACCAGTTCCATTCCCTGGCTGTCCCGCTGGTTTCTTAAGTGCTGCCCCCATCCATTCATCATTCTAATTGAGTTGAATCTTCCTCCCATCTCTCTAGAAGCCCTTCTCCCCAGCCAAGTACTTCTCCATTGACCGGGTTTTCCGTAATGAGACGTTGGATGCCACCCATCTGGCTGAGTTCCACCAGATTGAGGGTGTAGTAGCTGACTGTGGCCTCACCCTAGGCCATCTTATGGGCATCCTCAAAGAGTTCTTCATCAAACTTGGTAAGGAGCATTCCCAGCAAGGTGGGAGGGGAGATGGCATGGGCAGCCACGGAGAGTCCCCCTCCACAAAGGCCAGTCTTTTGGGGAGAGGCAGGAGGGGTTGGGACGCTAGTTAGCACATCCTTTCCCTTCCTTCTGCTCCCCAGGCATTACAAATGTGCGCTTCAAACCAGCCTACAACCCCTACACTGAGCCCAGCATGGAGATCTTCAGCTACCATCAAGGTAAGCAGATTTGGAGGGGGAGTGGGATTGTATATCTAGTAGCCATGAGGGGAAGAACAAGACCAGCTAGAGACAAGAGAATAGAAGGATAGACATGGAGGATGGAAGGTCAGACAGACAGATGGGCAGGAGCTGACACAGAGCTCTCCCCACCCATGTGCTGGGGAAGCTGGGGGGAGGGGGGACACAGGTGCTCTGCACACCTCTAAAGCTGTTCCATACCTGGGGAGTCTGTCCAGGAAGGTGTCTTGCAGGCCTCAAGGCCCTTGGGCAGCCTGTAAGGGTGAGGTGAGCTGTAACATGCCCTGGAGTTGTCTAGGTGTTGTGGATTCCTCAGGGTGGGAAGAAGACAGGCTGTGGCCACTGGAACCTCACCTTCTGTCTCCTCTTTCTTCCAGGTTTGAAGAAGTGGGTGGAGGTGGGGAACTCAGGAGTCTTCCGGCCAGAGATGCTGCTGCCCATGGGCCTGCCTGAGGATGTGTCTGTCATTGCCTGGGGCCTTTCCCTGGAGAGGTAAGTATGTGATTTAAAGACTATAGATTCTGTAAGTGTGAGCTGTGATAGTGTAACTGAAGATTTATAGTTGTAGGACTGGTGTGACTGATGTGAGACTCAGTGTGATTGTGAGGGACTGAAGGAAACTCTGTGTATGTATATGTGTGAGTGTATGTAACTCAGGCTCACAGTAGGTCCACCTTTAATCCCTAACCCTCTTCTCCTCTTTTCTCCCCTAGACCTACTATGATCAAATATGGCATCAGTAATATCCGAGAATTGGTGGGACACAAAGTGAACCTGCAGATGGTGTACGACAGCCCGTTGTGCCGCCTGGACACCTAGTCCTTGCATACTCACAAACTGGATCTCCTTACCCCATGTGTTCATGTAGTGCTCGTTCAGTCTCTGCTTGGATACCTGCATCTGGACCTTGGGCCCTTCCGACTTCCCTGAGTATCTGGAGCCAACCTGGGCCCCGCCTTGTACTATCATCTTTCACTACCCAGACACCTAAATATGTGGAACTTAGCAGGGCTACACCCTCCACCTGCCCAACACTCCCTTGCATATTTATCTTCTGAAAATCCAAGCCTAGACTTTCCCCCTCCTTATCCTGGTTTACTTCCCAGGGCATCCTTCCTCCTCATTGTAGGGCTGGACCCCAGAGCATGTCCACCTGAGCCAGAGTCTATTTCATACCTTCTCCTAAACTGACATCCGTCCACACTTTCCAGGTCAACAACCAGACATCTGTTCCTGAATAAAGTAGTTCTGATTCCTTTGCCTAGTAGGCTTTCTCCTAAGAGTGGCTGTGGGGAAGGTGTTTTGTATACCTGTCTTCTCCAGGGTTTATCCAATCTCAGAGAGTGCACACAGCACCCCCAGCAGGCTGGACCCAGCCTCTACCTCAGTAGTTTGGACCTTGGCTTGCCCCAAGGTAGTGCTGAAGGTCATTCTCTTCTCTGTTCTGCTTTTTTCTTGGCCTAATACCCCAATTGCTGTTCTAGAAATCTTTGGGAACCCTGTTTAGGTAGCATTTCAGAGCTTTTGGTCTGAGGAGAAGACATCCCATCTTTGGGTAGATCCTACTTTTATGTGGTGGTGGTAAACTATATCCTGGGAATCGGGGACATCCCCCACAGGCCAAGGGAAAATGGCTACCAAGTTTTATAACTTTCAGGGGAAAAAAATAAGGTTGGGCTGAGCTGACCAGGAGGGCATTTCTTGCAGAAGAAGGCATTAGCACCTGATCCTAATCCTTACTCTTCTCTTAATAGTGTCTGGGGATCCTATCACATACAATATGAAAAACCAAACAGATAATCCTAAGTGGGATAGCAGAAATCAACTGACCTTGGATTTAATTGCTAAAAGAGAACTCAGAGATAATCTCATTGAATACCCACATTTCCAAATATTAAAGCTGAGTCTCAGAGATAAAGTGCCTACCTAAGAATTTGTTAGAAGGGACCTTAGTTAAATCCACTCCAATACCCTTATGTTCTGGAATCTAGGGTGAATGAGAGGCAGGCAATAGCACATGTCTTCCCTTGCTTCTCTATTTTTCATATTAGTTATGTCTTAACGGTGTAGTCAAACATTACACAAACATTCCATAATTTATTTTGCATTCCCTAATCGATGGCTGTCTACTTTGTTTCCAGTTCTTTGCTACTGTAAACAGCGCTGCTATAAATATTTTGGTGTGTATTAGATTTATTCTATCATCGATCTTGAAATACTATGCCAGGCAGTGGGATTTTTAGATTAAGAGGTCTGAACATTGTAGTTATTTTCTTAGCATAGTTGCAAATTGTTTTCTATAATGGTTGGACTGATTTGGAGCTCGACCAAAAAACATTAGTGTGCCTGTTGTTCTGTAACCTCTCCAACGTTGGCTTCCCATCTTTTGTCATCTCTGCCAGTTTTCTGAGTAGGAGCCACAACCTCAGGAACATTTTGATTTGCATTTCTCATAGTGATGTGGAGTTCTTTCATATGATTATCAGTAATTGGAGTTCTTTTAGAATCTGTTCTTTGCCAAAAGGACAATAAATAGTGGAGGAGGTAGGGGAGGGTCTGGCCCAAGGGTTGTTGGGGAGAGACAGGTGAGGTCAGAGGATCTTCAATAAAGACAAATTAATTAGGCGTGATGAATGTCAAGGTAAATTCCCCACCCTACCTCCTCCACAAATGGGAAGGATTCAATTTTAGAATCACCTCTTCCTTAGGACCTGGTTGAGTGCTTGCTTTGAGAGGAGGGATTAGGAAGGGGCCTGGCAACAAGATGCACTTGAGAGAGGGAGCTTTGTCTTCTAATTTTGTCCCTGGCACTTAACATAGTGCTTTGGCCCTACTGTTTCATAAATGCTTAGTTTGTTCATTTCATCAGATCCTGACTGAAGGCAGAGCTCCCAGGATGCCTAGCACATGGTAGACACTTCATTCTTGACCAGTGTGTGTTTGGAGCACGTGTGTAGCCCTCAGACTCTTCATTTTCCCTTACTCTTGATAAGTGACCAGCCCACTATTTTTTCTGATCATTCATTTCCTGGTTGATAACTTTTTACACTATATTCTGGGCCCAAATCACATTCTTCCTAATATTCTATATCCTACTTAAATCCACCTTACATCTTCCTGTTTCCCTTTTGATTGTCCAGGGATTACATTCTGTTTCCCAGCCATGTGGCCTCCCCAAGAGAATATTGATTTTGTTTTTTTAAGGGATGGGGTGGGGTGTTCATTTCAAAGAGGAATTAAGAATCATTGAAGGAGTGCTATGCGATTTTCCAAACACAACGCAGTTCCAGCTCCTTTTCAGTTCTGGGCCTCACTTTTTCTAAGTTGCTACTGTATATATGTGTTAGTGGCCCAACTCAGTGGATGGAATGATCAGCTGTCACTGTCTTTATCCGTTTAGTGTTCTCCTTGTGGATTGTTAGGTTGTTCTCTCTTGAGTAGTTGTTGAGCTCATAGAGGAGATTTTGAAATATTCTGAGGGCTTGATACCACCAGCCTGGTGTCATCTGCAATTAAAAGTATAATAGGCACATATAGGCAATTAAGAAGTTGATACTAATACTAGCTGGTATTTATATAGCACTTTGTATATATAGGTCATGTTATCCTTTCAATAAAGCATAGTGACTGGAATTTTACATAGTGGGAAGGAAAGAAAGAAACAAGCATTTATTAAGTACCTGATATGTGCAGGCATTGAGCTAAGTGATTTATATTTACCTCATTTGATGCTCACAGTCCTGGGAGATCCCCATTTTACACTTGAGGAAACTGAGACAGGAAGAGTTTGAGTGACTTGCTCAAGGTCACGGTGACTGAGTCTATATTTAAACTCGTCTCCTGACTCCAGGCCAAATACTATCTGCACTGTCCCAGAAAATCATAGGCCTGCTATCAAAACACAATATTCAAAACCATGTCTCTCCTGCCTTGAAATATAGCACACTCCCTACTAAACTAAGCTGTCTCTCTCTGTGTCTGTGTGTCAGAATTTGTGACGTGTAAGACACTATGGGGCACAAGCTTCTATCTAACATCTCTGCTCCCACCCTCTACCTTCATGCTCCCAAATTCTTATCAGACATCTGGGCCAGTGTGTGCCAGGAGGGGCTGTCACAGCTTCTAAATGAGTCCGTGAAAAGCAGTCTGTCCTCCTTTCCTGGTTGTCTGACAAAATAATGCTCTGAGCCTCTGTGTGTTTCTGATTCTGTGGCCCACCCTTACCCCTGGAGTCCCTGGCTTTGCACTTAAGTGTCTCTGGAGCCAGCCTACAGTCTGCATACCTTGGGAACCACACAGACTGAATAAGCACAGTTCAAGCACCTGGCCAGTTTTCATGGATTGGGTGGGCAGGGTTGTGCCTGGACTGCCAGAGGATTGATCTTTCTGCAAAGTGCTGGCTGCCCTGAGCAGAGTCCCCAGAGGAGGAGGGAGAGAGGTAAATTGGAGAATCCTGAGAACCAAATTGGCCAAGCCCTGCAAAGTCAGGGGACCTGGAGGAAGAGGAGGCCTGAATGAAACTACTCATTGACCCAGAGAGGCATGTAGGCTCCTGGGGCCCACCCACACTTGAGCCATAGGCAGGGCTTTAGATGAGGCAGGAATGAGCTGGATCTTGTGCAGAAATAGAGCCTCTTGCTCAGAAGGCACAGGCAGCCCAGAATAGTGTGTCAGAAGATCTGACCTGGTCCTTTGCTATTTGGTTCTGCAATCTGAGGCAGGTCACTTTTCTTTTTCTATAAAATAAGGGGGTTGGAGAAGGTATCTTGAAAGCACTCTTCAAGCACTAAATTCTGTGACCCAAAATATGTGTGTGTATGGGGCATGGGGGCGGGGGTGGTGAGGGTCAATCAATCAATAAGCATTTATAAAATGCCTATTATGTACCCGGCAATGTAGACAGGAAGGAATAAGTAATAGAGATTGGACCAATGATTTCATTAGTTTAGGGAATTCCTAGTTGGGGAAATTCTCTCTATCAATGCAGTATACAATATAGAGAGTATATATGTGTGTATATATACATATATATATAGAGAGAGAGAGAGAGAGAGAGAGAGAGAGAGTAGAATATAGAGAGAGTTGCAATTTATAGCCTTAGGTGGCTCAGTGGATAGAATACCAGCACTGGAATCAGGAAAATCTGAATTCACACCCAACCCCAGACACAGACTAGATGTTCAACCCAGGGCAAGTCACCTAACCTTAGTTATATCATCTGCAAAATGTGGATAACAATAGCACCTACTTCCCAGGGTTGTAGGAATCAAATGAGATAATTGCAAAGCACTTAGCACAGTGCCTGGCACATAGTAAGTCCTATATAAATGTTATCGTTCAGAGTACTAAGAAGTTGCAGGATTTCCCACAGCTAACATGGATCAGATAAACTTTTTGAACTCAGGTGTCCCTGTCTTCAAAGTCTAGTCCCTATCCATTCCCTCATGCCATGTCTCAGGGAATACAAAGACAAAACAATCACTGCCTTCAAGGAGTTTACATTCTATTCCTTGGGGGGGGGGTGGAGAGGTATGCACACATGCAAGTAAGTAAAAAGTAATTTCAGAGGGGAGGAAGGCATTACTAGTAGCTGAGGCATTCCAACATTTATTACTATGGCATTGTGCTAAGTGCTGGGGATCCAAAAAGAGACAAAAGACAGTCCCTGCCCTCAAGGAGTTTACAATCTAATGAGGGAAGAGAGACAACAAGCAAACAAATAGATGCAAACAAGCTATATACAGGATAAAAATTTTAATTAAATGAAGGAAGGCATTAGAAAAGACCTTATGTAGGACATGATACTCTTAGAAGAGCTTTGAAGGGAGGCATGGATTCTAAGAGGTGGAAATGTCCAAGGTGGCCCTGGATTCAGGAGGACCTGAGTTCAAATCCAGCCTCAGGCACATAACAATCACTAGCTGTGTGACCCTGGGCAAGTCACTTCACCCCATTGCCTAACCAAAAAAAAAAGGGGGAAAAAAAAAGATGTGGAAGTGTCCTACTGGGGCAGAGGTTACTTACAAATTCTCACGTTTACACAAGGCTTTAACATTTACGAACCACCTAATAAGCACTATCTCATCCCTTTCTGTAGGGGCTATTATTATTAGTCCGCATTTCACTGAGGAAAGGCTGAAGCTTATTGATTTTGCCGGTGTCACAAAGCGCATAAGGGTAATTCCATGAAGTGTCCAAGTCAAGATTTGAATCCTCCTCGGATAATAGATGCTAGAATTGCCATATTATCCTAGTAGACTTAGGATA